GGGAGCGGGGCCCCCCCCCCCCCCCCCGCGCCAAGTCACATCAGACCTTCCAAGGCGGTTTAGTCGGCTCGCTGAGTCACCGCCGCGGGGTCACCCTCTTAAAGGGCGAGCGTACCCCAAATGACCGACATTCACTTATGTGTTGTATACATGACATTGCGTCACAGCTCAGCGCTGCGCATCTCCTGCAGGCTCTTTGCAGCCACTTCCTGTCTACGGGCACTCCAGAGATGGCGGCGCGGGGATTTCAGGGCGGGGTTCCTGAGGGTGACAACAGTGGACCATGTTTGTAGTGAATGAGTCAGAGCAATGACTCCTCCCCCTCCTGCCATGGAGCTGTGGCTAAGTTTTCAATTAGAGACAGGGCGCCTGAAAGCAGATGACTACTGCTCCTTATATAGTGAATGAGTGAGAACAGTGACTCCTCCCCCTTCCTGCTGTACTTGGTTTCAATCGGAGACAGAGTGCCTGAAAGCAGATAACTACTGCTCCCTATGGAGTGACTCCTCCCCCCTCCTGCCATAGATCTGTGGTCAAGGTTTCAATTAGAGACAGGGTGCCTGAAAGCAGATAACTACTGCTCCCTATGGAGTGACTCCTCCCCCCTCCTGCCATAGATCTGTGGTCAAGGTTTCAATTAGAGACAGGGTGCCTGAAAGCAGATAACTACTGCTCCCTATGGAGTGACTCCTCCCCCCTCCTGCCATAGATATGTGTCCAGGGTTTCAATTAGAGACAGGGTGCCTGAAAGTAGACAGTTACTGCTCCTTATATGGTGAATGTGTCAGAGCAATGACTCCTCCCCCTTCCTGTCAAGGATCTGTGGCCAAGGTTTCAATCAGAGACAGGGTGCCTGAAGGCAGATGGCTACTGCTTCTTATGGCGCGATTAGGACATAACAGTGACTCCTCCCTCCTCCTGCCATAGATCTGTGGCCAAGGTTTCATTTAGAGACAGGGTGCCTGAAAGCGGATCACTACTTCTTATTATGAAGTGAATGAGTCAGAGCCGTGACTCCTCCCTCCTCCTGTTATAGATCTGTGTTCAGGGTTTCAATCAGAGACAGAGTGCATGAAAGCAGATAGCTACTGCTCTTTATGGAGTGAATGAGTCTGAGCAGTGCCCCCCCCCACTCCCCCCTTCCTGCCATAGATCTGAGTTCAATGTTTCAATTAGAGACAGAGTGGCTAAAAGCAGGTGACCAGTGCTCCTTGTAAAGTCACTCCTGCCTCCTCCTGCCATAGATCTGTATCCAAGGTTTCAATTAGAGACAGACTGCCTGACAGCAGATAGTTACTGCTCCTTATATAGTGAATGAGTCAGAACATTTACTCCCCCCTCCTCCTGCCGCAGACATGTCTCCATGGTTTCAATTAGAGACAGACTGCCTGAAAGCAGATACCTCCTGTGTAATACTCTCTTTAGCTAACCCGCGGGGATCCTCCGTCATGTATTGAATGTTTGTAAAAGCGGGAACCTCCGGCATGGACCAGATACTGAAATGTCGGATTTGGGGGGGGGGGGGGCGGGGCGCCGGGGGGGCGCCC